TGGAGTTGAAGCCTAGAGTTGATGGCTCCTTTGCTAAAAGTGAAGCTGGGCATGGGAACTTATCCTTGGAGTTGAACCCTGGAGTTGATGGCCCCTTTCCTAAAAGTGAAGCTGGGCATGGGAACTTGTCCTTGGAGTTGAACCCTGGGGTTGATGGCCCCTTTGCTAAAAGTGAAGCTGGGCATGGGAACTTATCCTTGGAGTTGAACCCTGGAGTTGATGGCCCCTTTGCTAAAAGTGAAGCTGGGCATGGGAACTTATCCTTGGGGTTGAAGCCTAGAGTTGATGGCCCCTTTGCTAAAAGTGAAGCTGGGCATGGGAACTTATCCTTGGAGTTGAACCCTAGAGTTGATGGCCCCTTTGCTAAAAGTGAAGCTGGGCATGGGAACTTATCCTTGGAGTTGAAGCCTAGAGTTGATGGCTCCTTTGCTAAAAGTGAAGCTGGGCATGGGAACTTATCCTTGGAGTTGAACCCTGGAGTTGATGGCCCCTTTCCTAAAAGTGAAGCTGGGCATGGGAACTTGTCCTTGGAGTTGAACCCTGGAGTTGATGGCCCCTTTGCTAAAGTGAAGCTGGGCATGCAGGAACTGTCTTGGAGTTGAACCCTGGAGTTGATGGCCCCTTGCTAAAAGTGAAGTAGGCATGGGAACTATCCTTGGAGTTGAACCCTGGAGTTGATGGCCCCTTTGCTAAAAGTGAAGCTGGGCATGGGAACTTATCCTTGGAGTTGAACCCTGGAGTTGATGGCCCCTTTGCTAAAAGTGAAGCTGGGCATGGGAACTTATCCTTGGAGTTGAACCCTGGAGTTGATGGCCCCTTTGCTAAAAGTGAAGCTGGGCATGGGAACTGCCCACTTAACCTTGGTTGACGTTGGAAGGGGAGCAAAAGCTGAGAAACTTTAGCAGTTAAGTGGTTGGATTTCAACCACTCAACCACAATAAGCAAAAATGTGAAATGGTTCCCAACAACAACCACGTAACCTTGGATCTCCAAGCTTTCCAAACAAATCAAAGGCAGATCTTCCGAAAACGGGCTCCAGGACACCATGAGAAGTGGCATGCCTTTATCATGCATACAGAAATGCTACATGCACATGCAAGAATAACATGAATATGTCTGCTCTATATCTGTTTGCATGTGGAAATACATAGCAATGTGTAAATATGAGAGCGTGGCAAAACCTACCGGACGAAAACAGGGACTTTGCAAACGATATCGTGTTGTCTCCCCATTGCTTCTCCGATCAAAATTGCAAAACATGACTTTGTGGTTAGATATTGTTTCCCCTCCAAAGACAATCATTGGTAGAAGTCTTGCAGATTGTCCACTCAAATGATATAATTCCTCGGTTTAGCTTGAAACACATAACTTTTCAGTCCAAGAGAGTCCTACGCGAATCACACTTTGGCAGCTACAGCTTGCTCAGCTTGCAAATCGCTACTTTCCAGTACAAGCGCAGTGCACGATGTACACTTTGGCAGCCCCAGCTTGAAAATCATACTTTTCATTAATACAGGTGTAGTACAAGAAGCACACTATATTGCCCATAGTGATCGTTGTCGTGATCCTGTTTGTCCTCTTCGTTTCGTAATTCAAGGCATAACTCACAAGTTCCTAGCCGAAGACAGCAATTTCAAGTCACCTGGAGGGATCTTTCTCGGAGCAAGCTCGTCAATCTTCTTCGCGCTGCAGTCTTCCAAAACGCCGGCGACTACGGCATCCCAAAGATCTTGGACACTGGCGCTGCTCCTTGGATGGATTGGGCTCCCTGCACATCAAGAAATGCAAAGATGCGCCACCCGCGGGATAAGTTTGGGCACTCAAGGATTCTTCTAGCAGGTCAAAGGAAACCCCGCCTCGAGCCCTCCAGAAAGCACTTCCGAGTCGCGGATCGTTGATCTGTTCTCCTTGAAAGCTCAGGCCGACAGGAATCAGCAAACAATGGAAAGGTCTTGGAGAGAGCGTTTGCAAGGTGGACAGGGCGTGTCTTGCTCGATCTGTATGATCAAACTCCAACATCACCACCTTGATGTTGCCAGCTCCCAGCAGTTGGCTGCCCGAGAGAAACGCATCTCCTTCACAGCCCTGGCAGTCCGCTTTTAAGAAGCAAATTTCGGCGCCGGGATCAATGAGGTCGTCCAAGCGATGGGACGGCACTTTCACGCTTTTCGCGTCTGCCTTGCGGTTGGCTGAGCGGGTGCCAGACTTGCTCAAGGTGGCGTCCACATAGAACGGGGCTTTGTCCTGTGAGAGCCCTGCGTTCACGATCCGCACGTGGGAGCTCCATCCGTTCAAGTCAACCTCAAAACTGATTGAAAAACAGCATCCTACAAAGAGGGCCTCTAAATCCCACAAGTGTCGTGTAAACGTATGGGAGATGCGTGTGGCTCACATCTCAATACCACCCCTTTCACCATCGAACTTTTGGCTTACATCCCCGTCTGTAACCAGAATTTGGCCCTTTCCCGCGATTTGGGTGTGGCTCAAAATCTTCCAGAGCTGGGGCCAACCGCGGGTAGTCTTCTGTTCCATCTACCCTTTGGTGCCTTTTCTTGGGATTCCACGGTTTAACGAGCCACATCTGACCATCCCAGGCGCGGTCTTCTTGCCAAACTCCAGCGGAGCAGGATTGGGTTCGAAGGCCACCACGTTCTTCTGAAAGGACGCGGCTAGGGCGGTGTACCATCCAATGTTCATGCCAATGTCCAGCACCAGGCAATCAGATTCCTCGGAGATCAAACCCTTGCACTTGCACAGTTGGAAAATTTGGATGCTTCGAATCAAGCACTCGTGATTCCTTCCTCGTGCTATCGTCAACATTTCATAGTGGCTGGCTGTAAGACCGAGCCTGACGGCAAGCAATGCTGCAGGAATGCATTCATTAGGCCTTTTGGAAAAATAGATAGCCCTGGTAAATGGAAGAAACCCCACCTAAACCAGTGCCATCTATTTTTGCTGATCAAACTAACCAAAAAAGAACACCTATGCATGCATTCCTGATATCCGCATTGTGCCGCAGCTTGGTGAACATCCCTTTCACACATCTCTTCATGCCTGGATCGCCAGTTGCTGCTTCTTTTTTCATCCACTTTACCCCCAAAACCAGTTCAACGGTGACTGAGGGAGAAAAAAAAAGCGATCGCAACTTGGCTATCTCGGTGTGTTGGGCTTTGACGCGGTCCAAGGCTGTGCCCTCGACACTCATCCAAGCGTCGGGGCCACAACCCACCTCCAGGGCCCAGGTCATCAAGAAGGTGAGCCCCCCCTCCCAGATCTTCTCCGTTCGAATGGCGTTGGTCGGATGATCGTCGCCGTGGGTGGCCACCACGTGATGCCAGTGCGGCTTCGGCAAAGTGACCACCACGGTGTCCGAGATCGATCTCGTCCGAGAGCCGGAATTGGATTGAAGGCTCGGCTTGGGACAGCGGTGGAGGGAAAAGTCCCGAAACTCTTGAAATTCAGAGCTGGAGTTCCGGCTTGGCTCCACATCTGAGCTTTTCACGCTCACCTTCTCCCTGTCCGTCTCGGTTGGAGTGGCAACTGGCCAAACATGGCCAGGCTGTGTCACCTTCTCCACCTCCGACTTGGTTGGAGTGCCAGGAAGCGTCACTTTCGCCACCTCCACCTGCTCCATCTCGCGAGTGGCAATTGGTGGAGCCCAAACATGGCCTAGGTACGCTGGAGCGAAATCCGCCAGGAGGTAATTGTATGAAAAGCCCACGATCAAGATACAAGCTGTGACCTTGATCGCGCAGCATGTTCGCACCATGGGCGAACATAGGGGTGCGCGTGACGCCACCGCAAAAGGGTGAGTGAAAAAAAGGTGTTTTGGAGGCTCTTCAGGTGCCAAACTTGAACATTGGAGCTGAACTCAACATTCAGATGCTCAACACACTAGCTCAGAAATCAAATGATTCACTGACAAACTCAAATATCATGCTCAGGTGCCGCTAACTCTTACCAATTCGATCGCCCATGATACCTTTGAGCCACCAAACAAGCAGCACGGGCGGAGAGACGTGCATCACAGACATGGGGGTCTTGTCTTTCTTTTGGAGTTGGTACCCCAGATTTGTGGTGAACCAAGGGAAACCAAAAGCAAGACCGTCAACCGCCATTTTGGGCGTCCAAGCTTTGAACAAACACACCCATTCTGGTCTTCAACAGGACGGTATCAACATGTGTTCAGTCCATGGAGTGATGGTAGGTGGATCTCTTCCCCCTTCTGGCCGCATTATTTCATCAAAGTCACCCTCATTCAGTGTTGGGTTGCAGGGAAACAACCCTCGTCTTTCTGACTTTGACAACCCCCAGAAGCAGTCAAAGTACCCTCCCACCAATTAACATGAAACCTGACGTTCGGGACCCGGTCCCTCTCTAAAAGTTGAACATGCTCCAACCAGGACCATTGCCCCGAACATCAGGTTCCATATTAATTGGAGGGTAATGACCCCAGCCTTCGCTTTTTCGCTGGCAGGCGACCACCAGCACATTGGCCGCTGCGAATAGGCTGGCAATGGTGGGCCCCTGAACAGGGTAGACTGCCGACTCAGCGACGTGACTAGGCACGTCCATCCAAGTATGACTGGGCAGTCCGTTTTCAGATCCCCTGCTAAAAGTGACTCGCGTTTAGTGGGTCAACTGGAACCCCCACCTAAACCAACTAAAAAGCTAAAAAGCTAAAAAGCCAAGGCTGGCTGGGAGCCGCCAAAATGAAGTGGCTTCTCCTGGTTTCTTCAAGGGGAAATGGTACTCACTGATACCTATGATGCTTTTCATCACACCCTAAGCAAACGAGAGCACAACACTTTTGTTGCATCACCCCGCAGGGCAGTTCGAGCCGGAACCATGCGTAGCTGCAGCACGTAGCTGCAGCGTGGGTGCAACTTGTTGATTTGCATGTCTGTCTCAATAGTAAACGCGAGTAGTGGTTGTACAGACGTGGTCGACCTTAGCCAAAGCCATAGATAGCTTGGACAAATGCAAGCACGAAATCCTGGAAACGGAACCAGGTCGTGGTTTCAGATTCTTCTTGTATTAAATGCCTGTTTGATTGCCCTTGCACAACTCGTAGGGCCCATTTGCTGAAGACATCCACGCTGCATAATCCCATGGCAAAGCCCGTTGAACGCGCGCATATGATCGCAGCATAGGTTTAGGGAAGGGGGGAGCATCTGTGTATAGATATAGATATATTTGCATCAGTCACCTGCCCAAGGTGCATGTCCGAATCTGAATAAATCGCCTTCCAATCTACCTTCGAGCTGACCGTGCGAAGATTCGCACAAATCCTGCGACTGAGCATAGCCGAACCATGTTTGAGGGTAGCACATAGCACCATGACACACAAAAACACACACAAGAAAACGAAAAAGCAAAGCAAATGCAGGAGCCAGGGCACTCCAGGGGTTGTACTTTTTGACAACGGGTAGACTCAAACCCAGTGGTTCCTTCCCCCAAAAGCCAAAAGGAGACCCCCTGGGTTCAAGCCGATCAGGTAGTCAAAAAGTGGAACTCTGGCAACCAATGGGCAGGGTATACACTGAGTTGAGTCCAAGGCCCCTTGCTCCGATATTGGCTGGATCTATCCTTTCGTGTCATGCGAAATTTTAATGATGCTCGAGAACAAAAATGGGCGCTCATTCTACCCTTCCTCCCACCAACATGGCACCTGACAGGAGGTCCCCTGAAGAGGAAATTGATCTTCCAGGTGCCCTCCCACAAAAGCTATGTTGGTGAGAGAGGAAGGGTACTATAATCCCTGAAGCAGCTAGTGGAACCACCTAAAATGGTCAATAGGAATCGGCAGTATGGCGACGCCCCCGCAGATTCTGTGGGAACACAGCAGAAGCGTGGGGAAAACGAGCATGTTGACCAACCAAAAAGTTGTCCCTTAGTCTTGGTGTGCTTTGGTTTCCCTTCCCCAAAAGTTGGCTGTGGGTCAAAAATCGGGTAACCCCAAAATGGAACCTTAGTACCTGGAAACATGGACTAAAACCTGCGGTCCAATTCCTGGTTTAATTTTGACCCACACCCAGTTGGCCCCGAGTTTCCCTCGGTTTCCCTTTGCTGGGCTTCCTGCGCGCCGATTTCACGGTCGCTCCACAGGCAGCTTCGCTGGCTGCGGACTGCGAAAAGCTCGCCGTGCGAAAAGCGCCCCGAGCCAAAGGCGGGGAGACCATTGAGCGCATGAGCCCTGAAAAGTAGGGCCCACTTGGCCATGGGCTTTTCAAAATCCAAATCGGTTAGCCCCCAGTGGACATCAACCAATCCAACCACTAGAATAGGTTCTAAAATGGGTGGTGAATTCACCTATCCCAAAATGGTACCATTGGTTTTGACCCACAGCCACTTACCTGGGTCTCCTTTGCACGGCGCTGGTTCTTTGGGCTTCGGAATTCATCGCATCATCCGGCCTAAAGTGCTCAAGAGCACGATAAATGATAAATGCCAGTAAACTGATGAATATCAAGGGCGGAATAGATATGTCTGAGGGGCAACAAACCAATTCTGGTAGCCTTCTCACAGTAGCCACTGGGCACAAATGAGCAGGCTTCTGTCGGTCACGTGTGCTGTTGTTGAATTCCCGCTCGCATTTTTGGACCAATGGAGAGCGAATGCCGCTCATAAGTGACAGCATTCTCCCCATTCAGGGGAATGCTTCTAGCTGTAGCTGCGTGGTTCATCACTGACAACCGAGCCTGGCACAGAATCGTCTGCGATCAAACAGCAGAACTCAGAGCTGTCTTGCTCACCATCTGAGGTCTGATGAAACCCGCCTACCATGGCAGTTCTCCCGAAAACAAAAGAGATGGCAAAAGCCAAGGCGCATGATGTTTGGATTGGGGCCATCAATACGAACGTACTAGGAGGGCTTCCAACAAACCCCATCTGACTTGGACCACACTTTAGAATAGTTATGTGTTGCATCATCCAGCGTTCAAATGGTTCACAAAAGGATCAGCATTGTGCAATCCAGTTATCTCGGCAAGAGGTTTTGGGCCGATTCCAGTTGGCACTCCTGCTCTTTTCACACTCGTGACATGCGACCTTGAGCCTCGCGCGAAGCGACAAAAATCTTGATTGAACCCCAACATTCGCAGCCCCGAGGCGAAAACAAGCGTAATTTGTTGACCCCGGATCTAAGTAGAACCCGTCCCATTAGGGGGGTGGAAACCCCTCCAAAAGTGGTCTGAATCCCCACTAAAAGAATCGAGACACCCCCGATGAAAATCAACCAGGGGTTTATTAATCTGGGGTCAACATTAGAAAACAAGCAGGATCACTCGAACCTTTCGCTTGGTAAGTCCTTGGCTGTGGCAGGGTAACGGGTCATGGGTCAAAATCCTGTACCCCCAATGAACATCCCAATCCAACCACTAAAACAGACTAAAATGGGTGGTGCACCTACCCCAAAATGGTACCATTGGTTTTGACAATCAGCCATATGTGAGCAGGTTCATAGCTGTCCTTTTGGGGCCCGGCAGAATACGAAACAACCAGGTCAACCAGGAATCGCCATCTATTTCTTCCTCGGCTGTCCTCAGATCCCCCTCTACAAGTGACTAACTTTTCTTGGGTCAAGAATGGAGAATGGACCCCCAACCACCCTTCTGACGATCCAAAAAGCTAAGTTGAACCGGATGGCTCGCTGGTTGAGCCACCAAGAAAAGAACCAAAAAAAAATGCCTACTGTGGATGGTTGCGAAATCTTGCACCACCTATATATAAACCCTAGAATGTTGATTCCCCAACGCAAATACCAACAAACCTTATGGTTTCAACCATGGTTTCAAAGTGGTTGGTGCCTGCGAAATGGATTTCGCGTCCATCCACAGTATGGCCAGCTTTGCGGATTGCACCTCAGCGCACCATCCCCAGGGCCACGTCTCGGAACACGCGGATGCGCTGCCCAGCCCTGAGCACTGAGCGCTGAGCGGTGCCGGGCCGGGCCGTGCGAGCCCCTGCTCGCTCAGGTCAAGGAGAGCTGTGGAGATTTGGGTCTGTTGCTTTTTGAGGCAACCAAAAACTTTTTGGTGGGCTTTTAGCAGCCATTTTGGTGGGCCACACAAAAGACACACCCATTTGGGTGTGTCCTAAAACAGGGCAGCCCCCCAAAATGCATTTGGTTCTCCTCTTGCTTTTCCTTAAAAGCAAACCCAACACTTCGACCCCCAAAAAAGAACACCACCCATTTCTTATGCCCAGTCAGTATAAGAAATCAGTAAACATGATAATTTGGTATGTCGTGTAGCACTTTGATGACGCTGGATGGGTGCCCCAACCCAGCTGGCATGAGAGGACTGGCTGATAGTGCCGCTGGCTTCGTTTGACTCTCCAATTGGTTGATGAGCAGGTGAGTTCCCCACATGCAAGTCGCAATCAGATCTGGTTTCAAACGCTCCTAAGCGAAACTTTGTCTGCGGCTATTTATGATTGAGACATGCTGAGACTGACCCCTAAGATTCAAGTACCGGGGCAGCCATCGTGCTCATTGCACTCATCACTGCAACATCCCAGCATCACCACCATCTGGCAGTTTGCCACTGTAGACCCGGCACCCTGCCAGCTGTTGTCAAACTGCTGCCAGGGTTGGTCAATCTAATCACGATGCTATCAACAAGCTCATGTTCCTTGCCCTTCGGCAAACACGTCATATGCAACACCTAACTTCAGAACCCACCTAGCCAAAGGGATCCGCAGCTGATCTCATTTTAACAGAAACTGACATGTCCAACATCCATCACGGGGCCTAGGGGGTGAGGGGAAGAGCACAAATTCGCCCTTATTTCGGCCTTGGCCTTCGGGCCAAGGCCGAACCCAGGAATCGCCCATGTTCTGCCAACCCAACAAGGACTTCCATGGCTTCCATGGCTAGGAGCCCGATCTTCTCTTTGAAACAAGGCTAGCATAGGTGGCCCTTTGGAAAACAAATTGGACGTCCCTGGCATATGGATGACACACCCGTGGAACCCATCGATGTCGTTGCAAAAAAAAAAGGATCAAAAGGACACCTGTGGTTGGTGCTTGCAACACATCTTCCACTCCAGTGAGAAATGGTCACATCGGTCGCGCCCTCTGAAATGGCTATGGCTCAGAAAACACCTGCCAAATGGAAACAAAGACTAACATGCGCGGTTTGCCCTAGCCCTTTTATTTTGAGCCATACCCAAATGGGACCAGAGGTGTCCACCCCTAAGAAACCATGGAATGATTCGATTCCCCAACGTAGATACCGACAAGCAATGGCTTCAACCGGTTTCATTCCGTGGTGCAAACGGATGTCACAACCATCCACAATAGCTCAATAGCAGGTGCCAAGGCCCAACCTCAGATGCCCTGCAAAAAGTGACTAACTTCTGGTGGGTCAAAAATAGAAACCAACCAATGCGATCCCAAAAGAAAAGCTCAGTTGAACCGGATGACTCGCGGGTTGAGCCCCCAAGTGATGTGGTGTGTTTTGTTTACAGGATTGTATGTAGGTTTGAATCAACAATCGGGGGTCTCCAAACCATGGGTGGCATCCTGTTCCTTTTGGTTTCACTTTGCAGCCAACACAAAAGGGGTACCCTCAAAAAATGACACCCCCCTTTAAGGATAGGTCATGGAAAAACAAACTCAGGACCTGGAAACAAAAGGCGATCACCTTTGGACAAGACGAAAGATCGACCGAGCTAGGGAAATCAAAGGGTTGAAAGGTCAATTCGCTTTGGGCAAGTGAGTGATTCATTTTAATGCATAGGTGTCCTTTTAGTAAAATGGATGGCCCTGGTAAATGAAATAAAGCCAATCTAAACCAGTGCCATCTATTGCTAAGCAAACTATCCTAACAGGACACCTATGTTTTAGAGGGGTTTCAGCTACACTTTGAAAGACGCATCAACTCTGGAGTTTATCTGCTGCGAAGCCGTCAGCATGCTTGCGTCCCAGATGTCCTGGACAGCCCCTGCCGCAAAAGACTCATATGGCTGTGGGTCTGTACCCCTGGTGAACATCAAAATAGGTGGCAAATCGGTGTTCATTCACCCCAATATGGAGCGATAGGTTATGCCCCATGGCCATACATATTCTAGCTCATTTGCTCTTGCACCTGGCTGCCATATCCTGGATCACCCCAAGTCACAACAGCCCAGATTCAAGAATGGCCGCAAACTCGCCGTTGGTTTTGTGGATGTGCTGGACGTCCTCAGCTGCTCTTGCACCTGGCTACTATCTCCGCCATGTTGCGGAAAACCCCAGGTCACAACAGCCCCAGATTCAAGAATAGCAGCAAAAGCACCGCGAGTTGCTTGGCTGTCTCCGCCATTTCCTTTATCACCCCAAGTCACAACAGCCCCAGATTCAAGAATGGCCGCAAAAGCACCGATAGTTTTGTGGATGTGCTGGACGTTCCTCAGCTGCTGTTGCACCTGGCTGCTGTCTCCGCCAAATGCTGGATGACCCCAGGTCACAACATCCCCGGATAACCAGAATGGCCGCAAAAGCACGGCAAGTCGCTTGGATGTGCTGGACTTTGACCAGCTGCTCTTGCACCTGGCTGCTGCCTCCGCCTTCGTCTGCGTGACCCCAGGTCACAACAGCCCCAGATTCAAGAATAGCAGCAAAAGCACCGCCAGTTGCTCGGATGCGCTGGACGTTTCTCAGCTTCGCCCCAGGTCACAACAGCCCCAGATTCGAGAATGGCAGCAAAAGCACCGGCAGTTGCTTGGATGCGCCGGACGTGTCTCAGCTGCTCTTGCACCTGGCTGCTGTTTCCTCCATAGTTGGGATTACCCCAGGTAACAACATCCCCAGATTCCAGAATGGCAGCAAAAGCACCGCCAGTTGCTTGGATGTGCTGCACGTTCCTCAGCTTCTCTTGCACCCGGCTGCTGTCTCCGCCCCAAGCTCCGTCGCCCCAGGTCACAACAGCGCCAGATTCAAGAATCGCACTAAAAGCAACGTCAGTTGCTTGGATGCGCTGGACATTTCTCAGCTGCTCTTGCACCCGGCTGCTGTCTCCGCCATATTTGGGATGACCCCAGGTCACAACATCCCCGGATAACCAGAATGGCAGCAAAAGCACTGCCAGTTGCTTGGATGTGCTGGGCGTTCCTCTGCTTTTGCACCTGGCTGCTGTCTCCGCCATTTTCTGGATTACCCCAAGTCACAACCTCGACTCCGCAGCCATGCCAAGCGAACGTCTTGTTGTTGGCAGCCAGAGCTGGCGACCATTCGCAGTGAACTTCAAGCGGCGCTGGAAATGCTGCTGCGCTGCAGCCTTCAGCTCGCTGATGGGTGTCGCCGGTGTGACTTCCATGGAGCAGCCTTCTCCATTGGGCAAGTGAACATCTACCTTCATGGCGCAGGAAGGCTCTCCTGGGCATTCAACGAGCCTGAGACACAAACATGTTTCTTCCACGGGGCGCTTGTTTAATTCCCCAGGTAGTGTTTACACCAAGGGGGTCCCCGGGGGCAGCATTGCGAAAAGAGCTTGTCTTACGGCAAGAGCTAAGGCTGGGTTAGATCGAGGGTTGGCGCTCAAAGTGTTGGCCCTGTGTGTAACAAGTTGTCTTCGATGCGACAGTCTCGTGCGAAATGTGAGTGCGCGCGGGCGGCGCGTTTTCGCTGTGGCGCCATTCTCATTCTTTGGCTTTTGTTGGCAGGGGCAATACAGTAAAGGTGGGTGCTACGTTTTTCAGGAAGCCTTGCGCATAGGGCTTGGAAGCGCGGAGGTTTGCACTACGACATGGGGTGTCTTTTTAGGAAGCCTCGTGCCAAACGTGTTTTGTTTGAGAGCGACGCTTGGACAATCGGACCTCTAAAGCCATGGCAGTTGTCGCAAAAAGTTGTCTTGCGTGCGACAGCCTCGCGTGAAACTGACCTTTCTTCAACTGCGCTCCCGCTGTGGCGCCGTGCCAATCTTCGATTTGTGTGTTGAGATTCCATGACCAACGCAGCATTCTGTGACACTGGCATACGTTTTTCGTGGCGCGGGTTGTATGTTTTGCGCTGCGATGGGTTGCGTGGCAAGCGCAGCATTTTCAGCAACAGGGTCTGTGATAGGCGCAGCGTTTCGCTCACTTGCAAGCGTTGTAACGCTGTGCTATGTCTACGTATAATTTATATATATATATATGTATAGTTTTTGTTTGTTTTTAACGGTGGAGTTTTACGCACCGTCCCCCCCCCCCCGGGGAGGACCCTCCCAGCTGTCTAACTACTTTGCGACTAAAGGCCAAAGATCGACGTCAGCAATTCGTTACCTGGGAAATATATTTCAAGTAGTGATCGAATCCCTCTAAAAACCAACGAGGGAAATATTAAAAACAGACACACACACACACACACACGCACATCTTAAGCAAATGGAAGGTTAGCGACCCGTACCCTTACCCCCGTCTCGAAGCCCAAGCATCTCGTGTGTGTTTGCTTCTTTTTTCCGACCCCAAATCCCAGGAGCACCGAAAACCCCGGATCAGGTTTCAAGCCACCTCCGCTGGCCGTGCCCAAGAAAGCCGTTTCGATTCTAGCGCGTTAAGCTCGGAAACCCGACCACCCTTCACCAAATGGGACGCAATGTGACTTCTTGGAAGTCACAATTGCGGAGCTTCGTGCTCCAACTGGTGCGTGAGACAGAGACGTCAGCGTGAACACAGAGGCCAACTAAAGAGCCAATAAGCTAAGGGGATGCGTTTAAGTGGCGGATTGAATTCGGATCCCCCCCACTAAGCCAAGTAAAAAGCCCTCTTGAAACCGAAGAACTCCAGCCAAGCCCCCCGAAAACCACAAAAAAAAAGGCCAAACCTAAGCCCCATTCTCCCCAAGAGTCGACGCCTGGGCCGCGCCAGACGGCAAGCGCTTGCCCCCCAGGCCCCCGGCAGCTCCGAGCCATCCAGCTCCATGGCCTTGTCGGAAGACCTCGCGCGCGCAGCGAGAGCCGAGCGCGAGAGCCAGCCCAGGGCGAGCCCCCCCCCCCCCGGGTGCTTTTTTTCCCCCTCCGTGGCGTTTTGTTTCTTCTTCTTTTTTTTTAAAGGAGGCCGAAATGAGAAACAGGAGTAAGGATTCAGAAGGGGCGCTTCTGAAACCGCCCTTTTCCGGAAGCGTTCTCAGAAAGGCTTTCGTGTGTAAGGGCGGCTCGAAAAACAAGACTTTCGTGGGAAGCCTGCCTGCAAGTCTTGTTTGGTTTTTGAAGTTTCGGCTCTGACATGTTGAACTGCCCGTAGCGTGAGAAAGTCTACCAATGGCACGGGGGCCTGCTCGCAAAAAAGGCAGCGCAGTGAAGCAGCTTTGCTCCTACAAGAAGTGCAGAGCCAAGAAGGACGTGAAGAACAAGTGCCACACAGCTCGCCGTGAGGAAGTGGATCTTGAGCAATGTCGGCCCTTAAGAAGCCACTGTCAGACTGTAAAGTTCTGTGGTCAAACGCATTTAGACGCCTGCCTATCAAAAAAGAAAAAAGCTCCACCCGTTGGAAGCGAAGCTCTGGACACGCAGCAACTGGCCAGTCTTTTTCAAACCTTGGTGGAGCTAGGCCGTGCCTGGGCAGCCGTCATGGGGGTATGCCAGCTTTTTTTGGGAGAGCGCGCTGACTGCGTGCGGCAGCTGAGAACATCTTGGCTGCGCAACTTGGGCCCTCAAGAAGCACGCGCTCCGGCCGTTTGCATCCCTGAAAGGGTGAACAAAAAAACAACCTCCCGTGAAGTTCCTCTTCACAGTGGCCTGGCCTGGCTACCTTGCTTCATAACTGGATGTTTCGTGAACCACTCCGGGGCGCGCAGCAGTCATGGCCACATCCAGGGCAAGAAGTTCAGGAAGGGGACAGATTGTTGTTCCCAGGGCTTGAATTGAAAACTCAGGCTAGGGCCTGGGGAGTGGCTGTTTCTGAGCGCGCATACCTTCATGCACTGACAACAGCAGCTGGAGTTATACAAAGCCAACGCCAATTTGTGCGGGAAGCTGGCGGCCGCCATATATTTGAAGATGTGGATTTGTCCCGTATTGGCACGCACACATTCAAAAAGAGCCACGTGACATTGATGAAGTGCGAAGGAGCGAGCTCATCACTAATTTCTTCAATCACGGGAACAACCGCAGCAACACTAGAAAAACACTATGACGTTCCCACCCGTAAACGGCAACATCACGCTATCAATGCTTCCCTGGGCCCTGTGCTCGACATGGTTGCTTTTCCGGCAGATGCTCAGCCGTCTTCCCCGAAGAATGCAATTAACATTTGGCGCCCTTGGTGCGGAAGCCCTTGCGAGACCCAGTGGAACTTTTGCCAAGCATGTGGGCAAAAACTGCCTACGTTGCCCTGATCGAAAAGAGGTGTTTGGTGGCTTGCCCCGCGCCCGTTGGCCGTATGGGCTTAGGTGGCCATGCCCCAGCCCGTTTCACGCAACCTTTTTCTACTTCAGCCAGAGCTGCCTCTTCGCCGGTGAAAAAGCGTGCGCCCTCTGGCATGCTGCTGCTTTCATACAAGTGCTGCTGGTGCGAGTTGAAATGACAAATTGCAGAATGCTATTCCGTGAAACAGACGCTGCGAGGGATGCCGGGGCAAGCCACCAATGCGATCCCTTTTGAGGCGGTGCTGGGGCAAGCCACCAAAGCGCCGCTCGCAGGCTGTCGGGTCAGCACGTCCCGGTGGCCTCCAGGCAAAGTGATTAGGGCCGCCCTATTACTGTGTTAAACACTTCCTACTGTTAAGTTAGTTTCCCCATTGGCCTCGTAAAACAATGGGAATGACACACATGCTCCTTTGCACAGCAGCCCGCGCCTGCAGCGCGCGGAGCAACATGCTAGCCGTCTCATCGCCCAAGCGCAGCTTGGCATCATAGTTGGCGCGGCACTCCTGGCAGTTGTCGCACGTGCCACACTGCCACAGCTGCGCCATGAGATGCAAGTCCAGGACGTGGGTGAAGCCAAGCTTCCGCAGGGCCAGCGCCAGGAGAAACACGCAGCTCACAGACCGGTGGCGTCCTTTGTTGCAGAACACACCAATGGCCACGCTGACGCTGGCCGAGAGGCGCCGGGTCAGAGTCTTAGCCATGGACTGAATCCAGTCGCCCCACTTGGGGTGCTGCACCACCGCCGCCAGGTTCTTGACGTTCAAGCCGATGTGATTGCAGGACTGGCGGCTCTGCGGGCGGTTCGGGTCGTAGAAGCGGCTTGGCTGCCCGGACGTTTTCAGCCCGGCAATCTCCATCATGATGTCCGCCAGTCGAAGTGGGTCATCTCGGGCTTCCTGGCGCCTCTGCCTCAAGAGCGATTGGCCAAGCACACCCAGCAGCCGGAGGCGGCGCGCAAGCCACCAAGCGCATCCGCCTTGGGCCTGGGGAGGCTAGCCGGGTACCCCGGGGGGCTCTTGACCCGCGCCCGCCTTGGCCTGTGGCACCGCAAAGAAGGCCACCAGGTCCTTGCCCAAGAGGTCTCCGGCCCTTGAGCCGTGGACCATGGCCTGCGCGGGCCAACCCACGGGCGGGTCACCTCGCGTGGTTTTATGCGCGTTGCGGAAGTATCCTTCCTTTGCGCACATTGTCTGCATGTTGCGGGCGTTCATCGCCCCCCATTTGTATTTGTTCGAGACGTGGTCCAACTTGGCGTCTCCCCTCTCGCGCGCCTTGTTGTGGAGGTCATTGTCTATGGCAAAGCCCACGGCATCGTGAGCGGCCGCAGCGCCTTTCCCGCGTTGCAGCGAGCCCCTGTAGCCTCCCCCACCCTTGCGGGTGGCGGAGGCTGACGCCCACGCATCCACCCTCTTGAGGAAGTCTATGTCCTGGGGCCCGGCAATGTTTTCTGCAACTGGCTCAGGTCTTCCCCCCCGCCTGGTAGCCAGAGCCCAAGACGCCCGGCTCCTCGTCATAGCCTCAAAGGCTGAAAGGCGCACCGCAATGCGACCAGTGGTCGCAGACTCCCATCCTCGCGCTTGGAGAATCTGCAGCCTGGGGTTCGCGAAGGTTTCCAGGAGCGCCGGCAGGAACTTGGGGCCGATGATGTTGTCGCAGTCCAGGTTAACGAGGATGACGCTGGATGCGTCACCCTCGTTAACCGCCCTTGACACAGCTTCTTTTCTTCCCAGCATGTGCGAGGCGTTCTTGGCGAAGGACATGTGGAAGGCGCCGCCGGTGGCTCTGGTGTCAACAAAGCCCAGCGTCAGGCGGACTTGCTGCAAGCCTTAGCGGGGGGTGTTTCGCACCATGTGCTGGGGCAAGCCACCAAAACAAAGCCTTGGTGGCGTGAGCCTCGCCACGTGCTGGGGCAAGCCACCAAAGCACACGGCGGGGCAAACAAACACATTGACCTTGTTAAACAAAGGGGCGGGGCCAGTCCTTCAACTCCTGCAGGGCCTGAAGCGTCACTTCCTCCCCTGTGCCCGGCGCCGCGCCTGGGGCAAGCCGCCGGTGACGCTGGTGCCCAGGACTCGGTAGGACACGCTGTAGTACTGCGATCCATTTTCCTCTGTCAGGCTGTTCAAGTAGAATAGGATGAGCTCCAACAGCGGCTTGAACTTGGCGTGGGTGGCCAAAGTCGAGGAATTTTCTAGCATGAAGCTCTGGGGTCTGACGCTTGCGATGGTCTGCAAGACTCGGAGCAGCACTCGACTGGACGCCTCGCCAGCAGACTTCATATCGTAGATGAGCATGGCATAGCTGGAGCTGTTGCTGGGAGCTTCGTCAGTCTTCGCTTTGTCCCTGATCGCTTGGCAAGCGCTCCCTTTTAGCCGTTCTTGAATAAAGTCCGCCAGGCCCTCCGCAGGCTCCACCTCGAGCTTGACGATGGTGTCCAATGTGTTCCAGCATTTCGTGACATAGCTATCCACAATGTTTTTTTTTTGCCCTGAAGCGTCTGCCATTCGCGGACCAGGTCGGAGGGTGGCTCATTCCCGTCCAAGTCAGCCTCGCGCTCGCTATCCTCGGCCTCCTCGCTGGGGCAAGCCGCCTGGGCAAGGGAATATCTATCCGGCTGCTGAGCCTCTTGGATGGCCCTCCGCACCGCCTCAATCTTGTCTGAAAAAGGCTGTGTCTCCAAAATGCCCTTCGCGTCCTTCCTCTGCCGCACGCCTGAGAAGATGGCCGGGTCCAGGTCCTGCGAGTACACAGCCACTTCGATGAGCTGAAGCATCATGTCCACGAGCTTGGCCTAGCCAGCTTTCCACTGCAGGTCCACCTGCCCGACAAATGTTTCGCTCCCTGCGGCCTACTAATCAAAAGGAAAAGAACGCATTTTTCTGTGATTGCCCAGTTTTTCTTTCCAGTGCAAATGCCGTGGCCTTGCGGTGCTGGGGCGCATTGATATAGCCGCACTTCTCCCTGAAAGACTCCACGCAGCGGCATGTGTTGCGGATCACGGCTTTGTCATCATCTTTGAAGAGGCTGTCCAATAACTCCCCAGTCAAGTAAACAAGCACCTCCCGCTTGGCCACGAGCAGGTCTACCGTGCCTTTGCCGTCGCATCGCGGCTGTTTGCCATCCAGGGCCCTGTCGGCAAACTTGTCCTCTGCGTAGTACCCAGCCTCCCAAAAGTCCTGTAAAATCTGAAAGCACCACTCCAGGTTCTCCTTTGACCCGCCCGCGCGCTTTGCGATTTTCTGCAGTTTGCACACCGAGTCAAAGGGGTTCGCGGGACCGTAGTTCTCCATCTTCAACACGATGCTCTGGACCTGCGCCACATGACTATGACGCCACACGCGACTTGCGTTGCAGGCCTGCTTGAAAATGACAAACAAATTATGTCCGGCGCGAGCCAGCCGCAACAGTTTAGGATAAAGCTCTGGGCAGCTCTAAAACTAAGGGCTTCATGACTGACTGCAGCCTCGCGTGCTTCAACACGTAGAGCGCGTCATCGACAAAGCGTGCCTTGACTGGTTCTGAATTTTTAGCGTACCTGACGGTGGCATAGTGCGCGACGACTTGCTCTTTGG